TCGTTGAGGACAAAAACAATTTAGAAGGCCACAATGTGCTAAAAATTTTGAAAATGGAGAAGGGGAACTTTAACGAAATTTGTTGGTAGAGAAAAAAGCACCTACGATTGTTGCTGGATCGGATGATATGTAAAGTGTCTATTTGAAGGTGATTGATGATAAAGTACAAATGACTGATGAAGGAGAACTGAATGAGGTTCATTAGAGTGATAAAATTATATATGATATCAATCAGAATAGTGATGATAAAATGGTGATAGACAAAAGGACCATTAAATTAAAAAAAATGGAACAACTGTTACCAGTGATAGTGCTAGATTTGATGAGTTTCCAATATTGATAATTTAATTTACTAATTCTTCTATTGGAAAAATGCTAGAACTAACTAGTCCAATGTCAAGACCCAAAAATCACAAGTGGTGATTACACCTATATTCCCAACCGATAGGTAAGCCAACCCAATAGATTTCACCATTTCAACTTAAACGTGAAAAGATAATGTTAACTAATATCTAACATACTAAGTATTAAAAATAAATGTGGAAAATAGAAACACCCCCACCCCCCCACCCCCATGATTTAGTGTCATAAGTACAAGAGCTTCTATAGTAGGATACAAGTCGAAACTAATATGAAAATCTAAACATAAGAAATATCCTACAAGAAAATCCTATTAGAATACAAAAATAACCTAATAAATAGAGGTATATTGAAGGGGTGCACCGCAATATATAGTAAGCAGCGAACCACAACTTCAATATAATCCAAACTCATATCAAATCTCCAAGAATATGCCCGAATTTGAAATATAATCTGCACCACAAAAGAGTGCAGCAAGTGTAGTATGTCTACGAAACCATGTGTACCCAGTTTATCTCTTTGACCGACAACGAAGGAGTAGTGACGATAGTTTATATAAGAAAAATCAATTTCTTAATTATACAAGTGTATATTACACTTTCCAGTTAGGTTTTATCAAAGATAGTAATCAATAATCAAGTAAATTCCAACCACCAAATGAAACACATAATCATCAAGTATGAATGATGTCATGAGATGCAATGCAATATGACGCAATGAAATGATAGGCCTTAGAATACCTAGTACTCTCTCAATCGTATATACATGATACTCCTCGAAAATACAACAAAAGTTCATGACCTATGGGTGACACGCGAGGTCCATATACCGACACGGACGATCTTCACGTGTCTTTGCGGAAGATTTTAACGCACTATCATATTATCAAACAATTTTCACACAGACGGTCTCCATGTGCCCAAATTACAATCTTAACATCTCACCATCCCCAGCACGGACGATATCCATGTTCTCAACTTATACTCAATCTCATATTAATGCATGTGCACAATATTATTTCAAACAAACTCAATTATCACAACTATACGAGTGTAACAAATAAAACACAATCACACAAGGAATTTAAGTCAATAATAAATAGGACAACGCCCATATGCTTTCGCATTCACAAATTACAATCCATATTCTATAGAATAACTTTCCCTTTATAACACTGATATTCGTACCAATGCCCCTCACAACATTAGTATGGGACACCCATTTTTCACCCTTACCCGTTGTCTATTCCGTTTTAGTCTTTAATTTTAAAAACATCCTTCAACAAGCCTTGAAAAGTCTTAACATACCTCGAATGTTAATCTTGTGCCATAAATCCTCAAGATTTTGCCTTTTCCTTTTGTAAAGCTTGAAGACGTTCACCATCTACCGCATTTGCATTATTCGTAAGCAAAAAAATATATATACATCACTAGAGCTATACCTGTATTCTGAACCCCAAAACTCATTCAACCTTATGATACCAAAACTAACATCCATGATATATAATTAAAGTCATAAATTTGGATGTCGTCTACTATGTCAAGTCTCATATTCCTAAATTTTAAGCTTAGAGTTAAATACACTAAATAACAAACCATAATAGTTTTGATATAAACTAGGCTTACTAATTAGTAGTGAGTCACAAGAACAACATCAAAAATTAAACGAAAAATAACAAAAACTAAAAATTTCCATAACTTCTATACTTTAGTTCCTTTAGCTTTATTTATATTATATATTCCTCAGTTAAAATCTTACCAACACAAATTTATAAATTTAACTTAATCAAATAAACACAATAAGTCAACAAAATCGTCTCATATACCAAGAGAAAACTTATGCTACTGTGCAATAACAAGAGAAAAATCCAAAACCTTTATACCCTTTTTATTCCCCTTTTCTTTTTATGGAAAAGCGCCTAAAATATCCTTGGAGTATTGAAAATGGTACAAATTACCCTCCATCTACCTATTGGCTCCAAAATACCCTTATCATCGACCTATTGACTCCAAAATACCCTTGCCATACACCTTTGGGTTCAAAATATATCATATATTTAATTTTTTTAAACATCAAACTCTTTAAATATTTTTTTAAATACTTGGCATTCAACTATTGGTTAAAGTTTAATTTATTAATATTATTCATAAACAAACCCACTACTCACCCATTAATAACTAAAATCCCACCCAATTAATCATCCAATTATAATATCAAAATCGCCATAAACACTACTAAAACACAATTAAATTAAAGATTACTGAAAAATGACATAAAAAATTACTCGAGTCCGAATCGAAGCCCCAATTAAATTTAGATTGAGCCACTTATTTAGGAGGACACTTTCAATTGAATTCTCTTTCAAGATTTAATTATAAATTTATGATTAAAGGTAAAGAAGTAATACATCCCGAATTAATTCATGCTTTTTTAAAATATAATTTTATAAATATTTATGATTTGTTTTATAACCTTTAGTATGTTATTTTGAAAAAAATTACCTACGAAGTAACATCACATAATAATACGTAAGAATAATTAAGATAAACATTGTCAGACTCTTATGTTTATCGGTAATTTTTGTTTAGAAACTTGAATGTATGATAATTTACTTCTATAGATATTTTAACCTCAATTTTTTAAAAACACTCAATTGATAGTAACTTTTCTATTTTTGCATTAATATTGTGACATGTTTATTAATTTGGAGGTGTTTAATTAATAATGGTTGAGTAGTGGATTGATTTATAAAATATACTAATAAGTTAAATTATAAAAAATAGTTTAGCGCCACGTATTTAAAAAAAATATTTAAATAGTTTAAATGTAAAACCGTTAAATAAGTGGTCAATGTTGAACAAAAAAGGTGGATGACAAGGGTATTTGGAGCAAATAAGTGGGTGAGAAGGGTATTTGGGAGCCACCTGGTGGATGGAGGGTAATTTTGTACCATTTCTAATACTTTGAGTGTATTTTAGGCCCTTTTCCGTTCTTTTTAAACCTAAGTCACATAATAATTATGATTGGCCCACATTAGCGACGCCCTAGTGCCTCAAATTTAAGGAAATCACCCAATCTAATTAAATATTCATTTCATAAAGAAAGACTTCACTTCGTTACCGCAACAAAATTAAAGAACACAATAGAGATAATTCAACTCAATCATAACCCCTTAATACCAATCCCTTTTCTCCATTTAATAATATAATAACAAGACTATGCCACACTGACTGCCAAAGTTAGCAAATTTCCAAATCCTTAACACTTTACTATAGATAATAGTATTATATTTTTTAGAACTTATTCTAATTATGACTAAAAAAATATTAAATCCCTCTAACTTATTCTAATTATGTGGACCAGGTGATAAAAAGAATTAAATAAGTCATGGACTCGGACCATCGACTATTAATTATATTAATTATTTAATAAAATTTTCAATTACCAAATTTTCTTAGTTACTGAATAGTTTAAAATTTTTAATTCAAATTTTATTTGAAGAGTCAAAATAGACCTAGTTCTTCAAACGGCCTAGGGGGTCGTTATATCCATTGTTTTTTACCAGTCCTTCAACTGCAAATGTTGGACAAAATAGTGGGGAAGCATATGAGAATATAATTGCAATGGTACATACTTTGATATACCCTTGGGGCCCAAAATGAGTATATTAGAGTATGTACCACTACGGAAATATTCTCAGATGCTTCCCAACTAACAACATGTAATGGGTATTCAATCAGTTCAACCAAGAAGAGATTCGACGAGATTATCAAGAATTCACTTCTATTAATGAAATCAAATTCTAAACTTAAATAATATTGATATGAGGATTACTTAACCCATTACAAAAGATCTCACATATATTGATACGGATCACTATCGACGAATTCCACTCGAAATCCCTTGCCGTTCTTGGCGAAATCTTGATCTTTCTCCCTTCTCCTTCTTCTCATCTCTTTTCTCCAAAACCCTAAGCATGGATGAAATTTTTAGTCTGATCTAAAACTTATTTTTACCCATACTAAACACTTAAAACAAATTAGAAAATAAATGGGTAAAAGGAGTAGTTTTCCTTTTCTTAAATCTGGATAGGACATTCCTTACCTCAACAACCCAACATTCTAAAGGTATTGCCCCTTCATACGATATTGATAACGAGCAAAGAAGTTGCAAATATCAATTTTAAAAAGCAGAGTTTGTATTTTGATTGAAAAATTTATGCAAATGGGGATTTAATATTTATATGGTATTTGTGGGTTTAAAGAAAATGGGAGTTCAACAGTTATGAGTGCAATTCGATTATAGTTCTGCAATTTGTTTTTGTACGAGTAATTGGTTACACATAATAGTGAGTTTGACATTTAAAATTAACTTAATTATCATACTAAAAATACGTACTTTGATATATGGAGATAAATAATTAAACATTATGTGTATCGAATTATTTAAATTAAATTAAAGTTGTGCTAATTAGAGGATTTAAGATTTACCCCTTAGGTTTGAAATTTAAGAAATTGATTAAAAGAATTATGTAATTTTTTTATTTTAAATACAACCTAATAAGAGGTCATTTATTTTATAAAATAAAAGTATAAAGAACATACCAAAAGTGGTATGTATTCAACGGGAATAAAACAAAATAAAGCAAAAGAAAAATTGAAATCATAAAAAGGTAGAGCCCCATTTCATCTGCTCCGATCTAATCCGCAAACTACCGCATCTTCTCCGAAAAAAATCCAGCTTGCAGATCTCCATTCATATATAATCACCTCCACACAAACTAAATTTACATGATACACAAATTTTGTGTGAAATCATTTTATTACAAAATTTCTCAATGAAGTTATTATTCGAACCAATAGAGACTTCAATTTGACTGACTTAGATCTAAATTTCCGTAGATTTACGTGATATTCTAGAGAATTTCAGTTTATTGTCCTTTGAAATGGCCTCAAATATACTTTCTCGGGATCTTCCCAAACTTCATCCAATCTTAATCGGGCTTAATCCAGATAAATCTTCCATTCCTTCGACAGACATTTAGTTTTCTTTGGTTCTCACCTATGATTTATTCTCCCTGTAGGTTGAACCCCTAAAGGAGTTGATACCACTGCTTAAGACAACAAAAACACAGGTTTTGTTTCGAAGTGTACTAAATATTTCATTGTTCTAGTTCTTGCATATCAACTTAGTCTGTTACACAATTCCTTGTTGTTGATACATTTACTTAACTTTATGTCACCCTATTTTAGCGTAGTCCTTATTTTGAACTTTTATTATCCGAAAATTATGAATTTTTGATATTTCTACTACAATTACTTTAGCCTTTTGCAGAATCTCATGCCAATTGTTAAATTGTTGCCTATTTATACCTGCAAATTCAACAATATGATTTGTAGAAAAGTATGCTAGGATTGTCCCCTTTTGTGAATGTATGCCATATCTCCACCTCCTTATTAATCAGCCAGATTTTTATGTACCTAACATCCCAAGCTATCAACCATGGAACCTCCTAGTTTCAATTTAATACTTGTTGAGTCAATAGAGAGTCTGTCTCAATGACCAGTGGAACTTTATTATTATGCAAACAATAATCCAGATCCATTTTGATAGCTTTAATTTAAGACTCAATAACTGATACATCTTTTAATAACCTAGTCTCAACATAAAGGAAGGCACCTTCTTTATTTCTTACAGAGAAGGCAAAGAATCCATCACAGACCCATCTGTGTTATAAGTTCCACTGGAAGGATGAATCAATCTAACAACCTTTTAGTTGATTAGTGGTGAATACTCCTCAAAGAACTTCAGAATTAGGGACTAAGTTTTAGGCATCCATTTCAACCAAGGATATCTACAACCAATAAATATATGTTTCTTTAAATCTCAAACACTAAATCTAGCATACTCATTTTCCTCATGATTGATAAAGTTTCTTCTTTTCCATCTGCTCCATATAATAAATGCAAGATATGCCTTAAAAACTAGTTTCAGTTTTGTAGAGTTGTTAGCATTCCACCAATCCTCCAGAACCTGCCTAAGCTGAACCACATGAAATTAGCCTATACAGAATAGAAAGTCCTAAATTTCCACCAGAGTTTTGTTACAAGTATTTCGACATATCAAATAAAGATCTGATTCCCAAACTTCCCTCACTCTTTGGAACACAAATATGATCCCAAGTAATCTAGTGAGTGGCTCTGCCTTCCTCTTTAAAGTTCCATAAGAATTTAGCAAAAACCCTATGAATATCATAAATAACACATTTCGGAGGGCTAATAGAAGATAAAAGGTAAATAGGCATACTTTGAAACACATGATTTATCAGAATCATTCCCCCCCCCCCTTAAAAAATTGCAAAATCTTCCCTTTCCGTAATTGGAGCGTATTATGAATTTATTTGATCAATTTTTGAAAAGTTTACCTTCTTTTTTTTAACATGGCTAATAGAACAACGCAAATACATCAAAGGAAACTTTCATTTAGAGAATCTTTTAACTTCTTTAACAACCTGAACATAAGTTTGTGTAGCTTTGCTAAACATATAATAAGAACTCTAGATCTTATCAATAACTTTACCAGATTAATGTTGATATAGTGTCGTGGTCTTCATAATCAGCTGTAAGGATCGTCTATCTTCTGCAAAAATGATAATTGTATTATCTTCATATGCCAAATGATTAAATTTTTCATTTTACTTGGTTAGTCCATAAAACATAAAATCGGATCTTCCAAAAAACTTGTTAAGAGATAGAGATAAAAAATCCCTAGTCAAAATAGAAAGAGCATGAGATAGAGGTCCCCCATATTCAATCCCCTGGTAGAATGAAAAAAGCCATGTGCTTGACAATTATTTAGTACCGAGTAACAATAATTAGCCAAAATCCTCCAAAACTCATTAGTCACATTATAATTAAAACCCAACCTTCCTAGAACTTTAATCATGAAATTCCAGTCAACTCTATCATAAACATTGTCCATATCCAACTTAATAACCACATTAGCTAGTTTACCCCTCAGTCTAATTTCAAAAACAATTTCTTGTGCTAAAAGAACATTTTGAAAGATATTTCTACCCTTAAAAAAGCCACAATTATTCTGACAATCATCCTTGGGAGAAATCCTTTTAAGCTATCATGAATAAGTTGAGATATGATTTTATGAAGATAGTTACTCAAACTAATTTTTCTAACATCCTAAATGGAATTCACCACATCCTTTTTAGATCTAGACATAGAAATTGCTTATAGACTCATTAACATACAAATTATGCACATATACTTCATAGATTAAAAAGTTCCAAAGACATTGAGGAAAGGATTAACATTGCAGAAGTAGTTTACTGGACTTTGATTCTTCTATGGAGATAGGTTATGATTTATTCTATTTGATAGATAGACTCGTAATAGTGATTAATATGCATTGAGTGATAATGTGATGTTCTGTATGTACTTGATTGTGTGATTGTGTGGTTTGGATAATATATATGTTATTTCTGAATTGTCTCAAATCTTGAGACCATGAAATATATAATCTTTAACCCTCTCTATCATAGTGATACCTTGAATAAAGAAGGCTATATTAAATATTATTAAAGAAATGAACAGTGGTGATAATAAATGATAAATTATTAATATATTTTTTGATCGGGGTGTCATGTTTTGACATGGTATTATTTGATTAGGGTGTAAAGTTCTGAAACTGTATTATTTTATTGGGGTGTCATGTTCTGACACAATATTATTTTATTGGGTTGTCATGTTCTGACACTCTAATATTAAAGAGGAAACATATTGAATTAACTTAATGTACTCAATCTCAAAGAATCCATTTAAAAAATGAGCGTCGTGTGGAGGGAGGAGTCCAAATGTGCGTGCTTGATATCATTATTGATGACGACTTGCTTTTGTTGTCACTTGTTGATGTCGTTTATTGTTTATCATATGCTAAGTGCTATAGTTTATTTTATACTATTACTTTATGCATACTAGTTACTATTTTTAGTCGGCTGATAATATCTACTTGGCACATGTTGCAATGTACAGGGCTCTACTTATGTTTTTCTTTTGTGCAGTGCATCGAGTGTACTAACAATGAAAATTTCCCTCATCTCTAGGGTGGGCTGAGGTTAATAGGATCTTAGTTTAATTAAGGCATGTATATGACATTTAAGTTAAAGTCTAGGGGTTTCCAATACATTATCTCACTAAAATTTCAAAATTACTAAAATTGGCCCAACCTTTTACACTTCTTCCTCTTCCATCTAGGTTCGCCATTAATAATATATTTTACTTCTTTCTTCCACCTCCTACTCTTTTTTCATTTCATTCTTCTTCCTAGTTGTTTATACTTTTCTTTAAAATTCAATGTGCTGCAAACGTGAATCATTTCAAGCGAATTATATAAAAAAGACTCGAAACATCAAGATGATTCCATTGCTAAATTTTGAGACTACTTAAATATGAATTTGAGTTGATCGAGATGAATAGTCAGTGTATACTTCATGTATAGTGAAAATATATTTAGTTTTTGAATATATCATAATGTATATTCAATGTATAATTCATATATAGGTACCTTATATTATATAGTAAGTATACTTTATGAGAAAGGCTCAAAAATAGCCCTAAACTATCAGAAATAGATTACATTTACCATTTTAACTCGTCAATTCATCACCAATTATGGATCCATTCACATATTTGAAATCATAAACATAATAAAATAAGAACCAATCTTTACTAACCTACGACCTTAAAAATCCACATTGTAACCCAACAAGGAAATCAACTTCGAAACCCAGCCGCAAAGTGAATAAATTTGTGAATCATTTCTTACCCTACCCACGAAAAATGGGGGGAAATGAGTGAAATTTGATCTTATGAGAAATGAGTGGAAAATTAGATATTAGAGAACTTATTAGTCTATATGGAAGTTTGAAATCTTTGGCACTTATGCGGCATCCATGGGGCACTTAACATACTTATGTTAACTAGAGAGTAAGTATGAATCCATACATTGCCTAAAAGGGTAATTTTGAACTACAATTTAGTTTGATAACAAATTTGAGCAATTTCCGATAGTTAAGGGGTATTTTTGAATCTTTTTCTTATACTTTATATGACTTTACCAAACCATAGTTCATAATCAATCTATATAGTTTTTTTCAAATTATACAACTATATATATTTGTAAACTAATTACTAATTTATATTATATGTAATTGATACTATTTCTAAAATATAAGATCAAAATAAAACAATACTCTTAAATTAAGTGTCATTATAGTATTTTTCTCAAAAAGTCTTACATAAATACATCGGATTAACTCATAACCTACTCACACTCTTCAGTTACTTGGTGCAAAAAAAATATTTGAAGAAGCCAAAGACGTCATTGGAGGTTAAGCTCACGGTCCTTTTCTTCTTTGTTAACCTCTTATTTAGATTGCATAGTCCTGCCACTAGCTAAGGTTGATGAATTCCTGTATGTTTTTTTTACTAATTGGCATTACTTGTTTATCTGTTGAACATTTATCTATTTTGGAAAACAAATGAAAAAACTATACACATATGATAAGTGGACGAAGTTTTGATGTTTTTTCCGATGAAATGATTGGTGGAGGAACTTTTTAGCTGTCATTTTGTTCAGATTTAACATGCGACGATGAAAAAAAGTATTTTTTTTGTTTTTTTATCCTCAAATTTTTTCTGATGAAACTAAGGTTAGGTTTTTTTTGTGCGTTTGTGTGGAGGAATGCATGCTTTCTTTCACTTATAGATTTTATATATAACGCAAGTTAGCCATGAAAATTGAAATAATTTGAAAAACTTTTTCACCTCCAATTTAAATTCAAAACCAAACACAAATTTGATTTTCAAGCATCATTATTCAATTTGATTAATAATGATTGAAAATTGGAGTTCTTTTTGAGTATTTTGTAGTGACAAAAGTTAAAACAACTTGAATTTTATGGCCAATTAGTTGCAAAGGAAGAAAAGATGTTAAGTTATTCATGAAATTTGAAATAAGTTATAGAATGAAATAAGGTATAAAATTCTTTTCTTGTAAAAAAATAAATTTGAAATAAAGGTATGAAATTGATAGAGAATCATATAACTAGTGGAACGATTGATACATATCGGTTTTTTTTACGTTAACTTCCCTTTCCTTTTTCTTTTGGGTTCTCTTTGTTGAGGAGATGATTATTAGAATGCCGAATTTTTATACATATGAGATGTTGTCTGTGACTAGTTGTCTATAGATATTGGTGATGTAGAGATGGTGGATGCCAAAAATAATGTCCTTGCTAGTGATGTCATAGTTTCCAATGAGTCATCGTTCAAGTACGAAAATATTGATAAGAAAGAAGGATTGATTGAGATAAGCAATGTTGAGCTGGTCCTCCATCTCACACGTAGCATTTTTTCAAGTCCTCTCTCTTTGAATACCTTTGGTCATCTATATTTTTCTCAACATTGCATGATCCAATCAAACCTTCTATCTTAACATCATTATTATACTTGACCGGGGATTAATTGGACACTACAACATCACTAGCGGGAACATCCTTTTCGGCATCCACCATATCTACATCACCCTTATCCATTATGGTAACTAGTCACATGAAACATATGTATCAAACTTCGACATTATAATACCCATCTTCTGAAGAAAAAACATCCAAAAGAAAAACAAGATGGAAAAAATAACATCCAAAAAAAACTGATATGCATCACTTATTGCAGCTGCTACATGATTCTCTACAAATTTAACACCTTATTTTTTAAAAAAAAATAAACTTTATATCTAATCTCATTCAATAACGTCATCTCAAAATATATGAATGACTTAGCTTCTTTTTTTCAGTTGCCACTGATATCTATGGCAGGGAAGAAAGACTCCAAAATATATAACATGATTGGCCATAAAATTCAAGTTCTGTTCATTTTTTTTCAATCCAAATTACTCACAAAAACTCAAAAACAATTATTTCAATGTAACATTCACAACCAAACCAACTCTTATTATGAATAATCATTTTTCACTATATATATAATAAAGTGAATAATTATGATTGAAACAGAGTTATGTTTGGTTGTGAATATAAATTTGAGTTGATTGTTTTTGAGTTTGTATGATTTATTTGCAGAGAAAAAAGTACTTTCAAAAGAACTCTCTCAATTTGTATGGCCAAAGTGCATATATATAAAATCTATTAGCAAAAGCATGCATTCCTCCACACAAACACACAAAAAACCCTAACCCTAATTTCATCCAAACAAAAATTAAGTTTACAAAAACAAACAGAAAAAAATCATGTTTTTCATCGCCGTATATTAACTCTAGATAGAATGAAAACTAAAGAGAGGTCCTCTCACGAACCAAATAACTTGAAAAAAACATTGTAACTCCATCCACATTTCACAAGAGTTTAGTTATTTGTCTTTTTTAAAAAAAACAGAGCAACATTCAACAGATAAACAAGTAATGCCGATGAGTAAAAAAACATACAATAATCCATAAAATTGAGCCATATGTAGGAATCTTCAATCAAAATTGGAGGTTGATGAAGCAAAGTAGCTTGACAAAGAAGGAAAAGATTGTGAATTTAACTCTCCAATGACGGCTTTTGCCTTTTCAAATATTTTTTTTGCATTAAGTAACTCAAGAATGTGAGTAGGATGTGAGTTAATTCCTTTGTCTTTACGTTAGACTTTTTGAGAAAATAACTAAAATAAGAATTAATTTAAGAGTATTGTTTTATTTTGGCCATATATTTTAGGAATATGAATTTCAATTATATATAATAAATTAGTAATTAGTTTATAATAATACAATCATATAATTAAAAAATATTCAATAGATTAATTGATTATATGCTATAGTTTGCTAAAAGTCATGTAAAGCATATACTATCTATATAATATAACGTACCTATATATGAGTTATACGCTAAATATACATTATAGTAAACTCAAAAAATTATATATGGTTTAACTTTATATGAAGTATACATTGACTATATATGAAGTATATATTGACTATTTAATCTCGATCAACCCACATTTACCTTTAAATAATCTAAAATTCTATATATGAAATCCTTTCGATGTTTCAAGTCTTTTGATATTGTCACGAACCAAAAATGGACGTGATGGTACTCCTCTTATTTCACCAAGACAAGTCAGCCTAAATCTCAACATTACAATAAAATGCAGAAATTTTATGTTAAACTTAAAAATACCCCCAAAATCTGGTTGTCACGTGTATAAGAATCTAAAATATTTTAATTGAATCAAGAGAAAAAAAAAGTCTTGTATCACATTGTTTCTAGAGTAGAACAAAAACATAAACAGGAGAAAGAAGGTCTACTGTGATGACAAACAGTTACCTCACAAATCTCCAGGTAACCTCGAAGAAGAAGAGAATCTATTAGAAAGGGAACAAGCAAACCTCTAAACACAAGTTAAGGGGAAAAATTGTAACATCTCATAACCCGAAATAGCTAGGATTAATTAAAGAAACTAAGAATGGTTATTTTTTGAAAAGATAGGAGAAATCTAGAAAAGAAATTTCCTAAGTGTAGTTTTGGTCATTTTGAAACGGCCATAAATTCTAAATCAAGATGAGTTAGGTGAGTTTTTTTATATTGGTAGAAATCTCTTGTAGAGATTTTTCCAACTCCACCGAGCGTGCAGATTTTTTACAATGTATGAGGGAGAGTTTCCTATTGGAGATTGGGATGTTGGATTTAGGAAAAATCGAATCTTGATGTTAGTAAGGGTAAATTGGTCTTTTCACCCTAGTATTTCCTAATTTGTTTTAAGGTTTTATTAGGCGTAAAACTATGCCTAATGTATGTTTTAGAAAATTTAAATAGCTTGGGGCTTGGGAAAAAAGAGAAGAGAAGAGGGAGAAAGGAGAAAAAAACAATAATTCGTTAAAAATGCCAAGAACCTCAAGTGAAATTCATAGGGGGTGATCCAAAGAGTTTAGGGTTGGATCCATAGAAATTTAGAAGGTTTAAAATTGAAAATCTGAGACGAAGAGTATGAATTCCCATCTGACATACCCTGAGTGCCGAATCTATCAGAGCCCCTTAGGGCAGGCTCTGTTAGCTCTGTAAGTTCTGGCGCGCCGCGCCATCCAGAGCCTGTCAGGACAATCTCTGTCAGTCAGGCTTTGGCGCCTTGCACCTCTCAGAGCATCAGATTCACCTGGAGATCTCATTTTCCCACCATCTCCTGCTATTTCGTAGGTGATGTATCTATAATTTCTATTTTATTCCAACACTTTAAAGTACATCTAAACATCATGAAATCATCCATATTCATGAGATGATGAACCTTTAATCCATAATTCAATTAAAAATAAATTAGGTTGAAAGTAAAGGATGTTAAGAATCAATTCTAAAGCTATGAAAAGAGTTAAAATAAAGTTTCTTAAGATTTCCTAGAGTTTTATTTAAAAATTGTTAACTTCATTTTAAGGCTCAAGTTTCGAGTTAGAGAAAGAATAAATATTGAAGTCTTTCCTTCAAAAGATATAGGGGAGCTAAGTATTCCCCTAAAGAGTTCATTAAGATAAAAAGTTTCAAGTCAAGGAAAGAGTAAAGAGTTGAGTTCATTTACCAAAAGACATAAGGTAACAAACTATTCCCTAGGAAGTTTATAAATGTTTGTACATTTAAGTTTAAAAAAACTGATATTTCCCAATAGAGTTTTAAACAGGAAAAGAGAACATTGATTCAATGAAGCCTTTTTAAAGCTAAAAAGGTTTGAGAAAATTATCTTAACCTAGAGGAAGGACGTTATTTTTGAAACATGAGCTAAATATTTTTTAAGGTAGTATTAATCACCAATGTGGGGATGAGAGTTCATATTAACTCAAGACTCCATGTAAACCATATAGACTTCATGGGCATTAGCAGGTCATATTTTTGATGATCACATTAATTTATATAGTAGATCCACTAAGTTGAGGATGTCCTGTGCGACCGCAAAGTATAGGACAGTTCTGGGAGTGTGGGCAAGACGCTGCAGCAGTTCTTAGGCTCATAGTGGTGGTTGTCGGTTCAAGAATTTTCCCAAGAACTATATACAATCGCATATAAGTAAAGTTGAGTTGCTGTTATATTTTCTTTAAAGAATAAAGTTATTTACTGTTTTACAAGCTTTATATATGCATATTACTTGTGTTTTAAATTTCTTTATATACATTCATTGAGTTGAGCTGAGCCAAGGTAACTTAATCTTATTCTATCAAGCATAAATTGTTGTTTAGGATTCCAACTTGCGTACTCGTACATTGAATGTATTGATACCATTTGGCCTGCATCGTCTGATGATGAAGATGCACGTAACTAGGATCAGCACGGGGTGTTTCGTTGATCCAGTAAGCAGCTCAAAGTCAGTTGGTGAGCGTTCCTTCATTTGGAAGAACATACTTATTATATTATTTTGTTATTTGATTTAAGTTTTTGTTGTTATGATTATTGTGGATCCTGTCCTAGCATTCATCTTTGTTTTAAAAGACTTAATAGACAAACAACGTTAGTTTTTCCTTAATCTTTTCATTCCTCTTGTAATTTATTAAGACTTGAAGTTTCCATTTTGTCTAGCTATTATATTCAAAGTTATTTATTGAGATTATAATTTTTGTTACCTCTTCCACTGAGTTAAGTAAGCCAAGCGAAGGTACGCTTAAGGCCAAAATAGTAATTGGGTGTCGGCTAGTCCAGGGTATAGACTCGGGGCGTGAAAAACTTGGTATTAGAGATCAAGTTTCAAGAGTCCTAGGATCATATGAAGCTCTATCTGTAGAGTATTCGTCATCAGTGTGAAGCGCGCAACACCTGTGATAAGGCAAGAGCGACATTTATTGATTTCTTCACTTCTTTCATAATTCCATTTGTTCTTTAGAGTTTATCTCTACAAATTTTACCTCAAATTCATGATTGCACATGTTTAAGATCATCATGCATCCACGAAGAGCAGTTAGAGGTTTACCAACTAGAAGGAATGTCGGAAGCTAGAGGTACCTAATGCACCAAATTTGCAACCTCAAAGATAAGTCACGAACACTAAATTGCGTGAGCCTATCCGGAGTCTAAGCCAAGTGGTGATTAACCAAGTAAGGCAACAAAGAGGAGCTCGAAAAGAAGGTCTGTAAGTTCAAAGATTTGGAATTCTTGAGGATAAATCCCCCAAACTTCAGTTGTTCGAGCAATACTGAAGATCCGAAAAACTCTGTGGAAGAACTGAAGAAGGTGTTTGAGGTGATGCATGTTGCTGACACAGAGAGAGTTGAGCTAGATGCTTATCAACTTAAAGGCATTGCTATAACTTGCTTTGATCAGTTGAAGGAGGGTAGAGATGAAGATGCACCACTTGATAGTTGGGCTTGTTTTGAAGAGGCCTTTTTGGGGCACTTTTTTCCCTGAGAACTGAGAGGGTCCCAAGTACGCAAGTTCCTCACCCTTAAACAGGATTCGCTATGTGTGCATGAGTATGGGATGAAGCTCACCCAACTATGTCGCTATGCTCTTGAGATTGTTAAGGATATAAGGAGCAAAGTCAGTTTATTTGTTGCTCGCTTTGGTCGTGCTTCAAGACAAAAAGATAGGGCTGCCATGTTTATTGGGGACATGGACATTTCACGGTTTATGGTCTATGTACAAAAAAGTTGAAGAATAAAAGTTGAAGGATAGAGTGGAGTACAAGAACAAGAAATCTAAGGCTGTTAATGAGTCTGTTCAACTGAAGGGTGGTTCAAGTTGACCATAATTCCAAAAACTGAAGGGGCATGAACCATCATTTTCTTGTGCACCTGTGTTCATAAACAGAGGTGACTATAATGGCCAGAATTCTAAGATTTTCAAGCCAAGACCACCCCAATCTCAAGGCAGTGTTGCAAAAGGAAGAGGTTGGGATCTAACATGTTCTAAGTATGGTAGAAGTCACCCTGATAAATGTCGTAATGGCCAGAAAGGTTGGTTCAAGTGTGGTCAAGCGGGTCACTTCATGAGAGAGTTCCCAAAGAATTAGCTAGGTGGTTAAAATCAGGTAAATAGAAATGAATCATTAGCACTTTCTCCACAAGACACTGATGTAGCTAGAGGATCCACTACTGGCAATAGTGGAGGGGCAAACCGTCTCTATGTGATCACTAGCCTCCAAGAGAAATTGAACTCGCAAGATGTTTTCACGGGTATGATAAATTATTTACTTTTGTTGTTTATGGTTTGTTAGACCCACGAACAAGTTTATCTTTTGTAACTCCTTATGTTGCATATCAGTTTGATATTCTTCTTGAGAAACTTTGTGAACCTTTTTTGTCTTTTAACCCTTGTTTGTTAGCCAGTCATAGAGTGGAGTAGTAGCTCAGTAGTGCCTAAGGGTCGTTTTATTTCATACCTAAGGGCGGAAAGTTAGGTTCAAAGGAATGTAACTATCACTTTGTATGAATCAGTGACTCAAGTGTTCAAGTACATTCCCTTCAAACAGTTCCTATAGTAAAAGAGTCCAGAAGTTTTTCTGCATGATCCACCTGGAGTCCGTCCAGAAAAAGAGATAGACTTCGTCATAGATATCATTCAAATACTCAACCTATATCTACTACGCCATATAGAAAGGAACAAACATATTTAAAAGAGCTGAAAGAAAAGCTAAAAGATCTGTTAGATAAAGGTTTTATTCAACTAAGTATCTTACCTTGGGGCGCTTCAATCCTATTTGTGATAAAGAATGATAGTTCCCTTAAGATGTGTAAAGACTACTGCCAATTGTTTAAGGTGACCATGATGAATAAGTATCCTTTTGCAAGGATATAAGATATTTTCGATGAGCTTTAAGGTGCTTCATGCTTTTCAAAAATTGATCTCAGATCATGCTACCATCAGTTGAAAGTTAGGGAACGTGACATCCCAAATACAACTTTTATAACAAGGTATTGGCATTATGAGATTTTAGTTATGTCCTTTGGTTTGACAAATGCACCAGCAACATTCATGGATCTTTTGAATAGAGTCTTCAAAACTTATTTAGGTCTGTTTGTCATCATTTTTATCGATTACATAATTGAAAGATCATGCTAGTCACATAAGAATTTTCATGCGTACTTTTAAGGAAAAGGAGCTATATTACAAGTTCTCCAAGTGTGAGTTTTCCCTTAAGTCTGTGTAATTATTAGGCCAGATTTTTTGCGGTGATGGGATAAGAGTTGATATCTAAAAGAGAAACGAAGTTCAAAGTTGGCCTAGACCCAAATCTCTTGTCAAGGTTAGGAGTTTTTAAGGTTTGACTGGCTATTATAGAAGATTTTTTGAAGGGTGTTCGGCTATCTCGCCTCTTCTGGCCAAGTTAACTTAGAAGACCTTAAAGTTTCAATGGTCCGAAACTTGTAAGAAGAGACTTCAGGAATTGAAACAGAGGTTGACTAGTGCTCCATCTTTGACCTTATCGGAGGGTACTCGAGATTTTATGGTTTATTGTGATTCATCATAGTTTGTTTGTGCTGTGTTTTAATGCAGAATGGGAAGGTTATACCTTATGCCTCCGAAAAATTGAAGGTTCACGAAAAGAATTGTCCAATTCATGACTTAGAATTAGCTACATTAGTTTTTTTTTAAGATATGAAGTCACTACTAGTATGACATTCATATTGACCTATTCACTAATCACAAAAGCCTCCAATATCTGTTCACCCCATAGGAGCTAAACTCATACAGAGGAGGTGGTTAGAACTACTCAAGGATTATGAACCTTGTAATTCTCGTATAGAGGAGGTGGTTAGAATTACTTAAGGATTATCACATGAGAATTATTTACCCCCCAGGTAAGGCTAATGTAGTTGTTCATGCCTTAAGAAGGTTATTCATGTGGAGTACCCTCATGTTGAGGAAGAGAAGAGGGAGTTGGCTAATGATGTGCATAGATTTGCACACATGGGAGTAAAACTTATGGATTCCACAGAAGGAAGAATAGTGGTGACCAATGGTATTGAGTTATCCTTAGTAACGTAGGTGAAAGAGAAAAAAGACCAACATTCCATTTTGCTCGACTTGAAGGAAATATTCATATGCGAAGAGTATTTGCTTTTGAAAAATAGGGAGATGGTATGCTAAATTATCAAGGTACGCTGTGTGTATCAAGGGTAAATGTATTATAAGAGAGGATACTCATAGCTGTAAGTATTTCATTCATCCGAGTTCCACCAAGATGTACCTCAATTTGAGAGAGGTATATTGGTTGTAGGGCATCAAGAAAGGAATTGTTGAGTTTGTTGCTAAGTACCTAAAATGCAAGCAAGTGAAAGTAACACCAAAGGCCTGGAGATTATCTCAGGCTATAGAATTTCTGAAATGTAAGTGGGACATGATTAATATGGAATTAACACAGACATGCCAAGATCTTGCATGAAACATGATTCTATTTAGGTGATTCTCGATAGAATGACAAAGACAACTCATTTCTTTCTCCAAAAGACTACTTATTTGGCCGAGGATTATGCTAGGTTTTTCCTTTGAGAGGTGGTGAGACTTCAGGGAGTTCCAGTCTCCATCATTTCAGATAGAGGTTCACAATTTACTGCACAATACTAGAAATTTTGCCAAAAAGGTTTGGTTCAAAGGTGAACTTAAGCACTGCTTTCATCATCAGACTGATTGACAAGCAGAGGGTACTATCTAGTGCTTAGAAGATATGTTGAGAGATAAATCCAATTGACTTCAAAGGGAATTGGGATGATCACATTGTGCTAATTGAGTTTGCTTACAACAATTGCTACCATTTGAGCATCTAAATGGCTCTATACGAATCTCTTAATGGGAGAAGATTCAGATGTCTTATTGGGTGGTTAGAAGTTTGTGAAGCAGGGTTGATAGGACCAGATATATTTCATCAAGATATGGAGAAGGTTAAAGTGATTAACGAGCGATTGAAGACGGCATCGAGTCAGTAAATGTCCTAGAAAGATGTTAGGGGGAGGCCGTTAGAGTTTTGGGTAGGCAATTGGGTATATCTAAATATGTCACCCATGAAGGGGGTTATGTCGTTTTGTAGCACAGGGAATCTTAGTCCTCGGTATATTAGACCTTATAGAACATCCATGAGAGTTACTAATGTAGCGTATGAGTAGAAGCTACCCCAAGAGTTAGCATCAGATCATCCCCTATTCAATATTTCTATGTAAAAGAAGTTTATGGGTAATCCTTCACTGATTGTGCAAACTTATAATGTTGGTATTAAGGTTAGCTGATCCTATGAAGAAATTCAAGATCAAATTTTGGATCGTCAAATTCGCAAGTTGAGAACAAAGAAAGTTTCATCAATCAAAGTCCTTTGGAAGAATCAATTTGTTGAAGAAGCAACTTGAGAAGCTTTGGAGGATATGAAAAAGAGCTACCCACATCTCTTCGAATGCGGAGAGAATTCATATCAAGGTACTAATTCTCTTCTTAGCACTTTATAAGACTATGAGAGTAAGCATTTATCATTTCCTTTTGGTTTTTGAGTGCTAAATGATGTTACTACACTTAGCTTAGCGAAAGAGTTCTCATTCAACGACGAATGTTCCCGAGGGAGAGATATTGTATCATCTCGTTTCCCAAAATATATAGTATTAAACAAATAAACTAAGAATAGTTATTTTTGGAAAGAATAGGAAAAATAGAGAAAAAAAATTCCTAAGTATAAAAGTGAGTTTTGGTAACTTTAAGGCGACCATAACTTCTAACTCAGGATAAGTTAGGTAAGTTCTTTATATGGTTGGAAATCCCTTGAATATATATTCTAACGCTGCTGAGTTTATGAATTTTTGATATCATATGAGGGAGATATGCCCATCGCATGTTGGGTTGTTTGATTGAGGAAAAATACTATCCGGATGTTAGTACAAGAAAGTTGTCTTTTCACCCTACTATTCCCTAATATGTTTAAAGGGCTTATTGTGTGTAAACTAATACTAAAGTAAGTTTTATAAAATTTAAATACGCTTAGGTATTTGGTGCAAAGAGAAGATAAGAAGGAGAAAGGAAAAAAGACAAAGAATTCATCAAGAACTCCAAGAACCTCAATTCATGTTCGTCAAAGGGTGATCTCGATAAGGTATGTGAGATAATTCTTTGTTGGGTTCTTCCACCCACCCAACGACATGCTTAAATCAGCGCAAGTATAGTAGATTGCAAGTTGAACATTGAAGTTCTTCATAAAAATCTGTTGAATTTTTTTTGTTGAGTAGTAGTATACCTTTGGTTGTTGATTCGTGTTTACGACTGTTTTACGAGTCTAACATTTTGGATATTGAGAATTTTAGTTATCCTTAATCAAGACATAGGGTGCTTCTCCTACCAGAGCTCTTTAGGCTAGGCTCTATATGACAAAGTTCAGAATGCCGCGCTAGCCAATGCCTCTCAAGACAGTCATTCAGGACAAGCAGAGCCTCTCACCTAGAGATCTCATTTTCCTCAATCTTTATGTACTAGTTCTTAAGTGATATACCTATAATTTATAATTAATTCTAACACTCTAAAGTACATCTAAACCTTATGAAAAATTCATCCACAATCATGAAATCATGAACATTGAATTCACAATTTAATTCAAGGGAAGTTAGGATCAATGTTAAGTAAGTTAAAAAGTCAAATCTAAACCTATGAAGTGAGTTAAAGTAAAATTTGTTAAAACTACCAAGAGTATTATTTAAACATTCTTAACATTGTTTTAATGCTCAAGTTTAGAGTTAAAGAAAAATTAAATTTGAAGTATTTCCTTAAAAGATATAAGGGATCTAAGTAATATACCTAAAGAGTAAATTAAGCTCAAAAGTTTCAGTTCAAGTAAAGAGTAAAGACTTTACTTCATTTCTCAAAATATATAATGTAACTAAATATTCCTTAGGAAGTTTATAATTGTATGTACATTGATGTTAAAGGGAAACTAAGATATCCCAAATGAGTTTAATACTAGAAAGAAGGAAACATTGATTCAAAGAGGGATTTTTTAAGTGAAAAAGGTTGAACCAATTATCTCAACCTAGAGGAAGTAGTTTATTTTAAAAGCATGAGCTAAAGTATATTTTGGAAGTAGCATTGAGCACCGATGAGAGTTCATATTAACTCAAGTATAACACGCTGAAAGTCCATATCTTGGTCTAGATCCTGACATGATTAACTAATTCTTACCCACTTTTTATAAGCCTAAAATTATGAATTGAAACTATGTAGGAAGGGTTAGAGTCAAAACATTAAGAAATGACTTCTAAAGAAATGTGAAATGTTTTCTAGTGTGCCTTGTCATGTTTCATGGTGTTTTAAGAGTTGGAATTTAGTGAAATTTGGTAAAAAGTTTTGAACATATATATAAGAGTGTAATTAGGTAAAAAAAAGGGTTACAACTCCCCAAGGACAAGGGACCCTTCCATTTGACCCAAAATTGTCAAAATTGGCAGTGGAAGTCCCCGATACAATGGACGAGTCGTCAATGGGTCAACAACCCATAAATGGTGTTTGTTGGTTAGGAACTACCCATATTTTCAAAATTGCCAAAAACCCTATATTTGTCCCAAACGACGCCCATGCAGGATGGGCCGTCGATAGAACGACAGGGCATAGGTCGGGGTCTCGTGGTTTTGTGGTCGAGTTTCACTGTTAAGTTTTAGTTACGTTAGATTTATTAGTTAGTTGGTTAATTAATTAAGTGAGGTTTAATGTGCGGGTAATGAATTTATTTGGGGATTATCGAAAGATTAAATCACGTTAAACAAACCCAACACCCCATAATTCCCAAACCCAATTCTCTCTACTTTCTCTCTCTCCCTCTATTAAAAGACCCAATTAAAGATAGAGATTCAAGGTTCACTATGGATTAAATACTTCATCTTTTCTTCATAAAACTCTAAGGAATCCTATGGTATGAAATCCATTCACTCTTGGGATCTGTTTCCCAAAGAGACTCTTCAAAATTTGTTTCCAAAGAAGTCTAAAAGTTTACTTTTCTTCCAATTTCGTAATTGTTCTTGCAAATTGATTTAATAATGGTTTAATTTTATTATAATTTATAGATAATGACTAAACATTAGTTAATTGTTGTAGTTGTTATTCTTATACCTAGTTCTATGGAAGAATTCATGATTGAACCCTTTTCCTTAACTATAGGTTATGAACTGGTGTTGATTTGACTTGTGATGATACAATTGAATTAAATTTTGTATAGATTTCTATCTATGATGTTATAAAGTAAATTTATGGATGAATATTGTTGTATTGATTGTAAGGTCGTGAAGAAGGCTTTGATGGCTATTTAATAAGACTTTAAGATCTTGAGTTCTTTACTTTAATGATATTGGTTTATGCTTGATGATGGTGTAAAATTGTTGTATTATACGTTATTAGATTAATAAGATGATGATATGATGATTATGGTGATATTCCATGACTATGTTGAATTGGGAGATCATGTTAAAGCTATATAGATACAAGGTTGGATGTGAATCCCTTGATTTTCTTACAATGATATGATTTTGATGTGATTATGTCACTACATGAAAGATTATATTGAAAGGAAATGTTCATGCAATACCTATTGAGAACATTACATGATATTAAAGGGGCAAGCCTCTTATGACCTTAATTAAGCTATAATGATAAGAATGACTTAATGGAATTTAAAAAAGTGACTTTAGCTAAGAACCGATCAAACTTGATAATGAGATATGTTGACTCCCCTATAAAGGGAGATTCACCCAATGGTTTTTTATGAGATGAGAACTACAATGCTAGTGGACCTGTAGAGGTTTCAATACATATTTCCTTGTTCCTTAACTATGTTTCCTCCATAGAAATACTAGTTAGTGGATAAAGCTAGAATGTTATATTCATGTTTTGGTACTACTTTGGAAAGTAGACCATATTCTTTCTTGTAGAGTTTCATGACACTGAATTCCATGTTTTTCTCATATGGTCTATGTAGGATGAGGTAAGGGGTTCTACTTAGTGTAGGCATGGGTATTTGACTCTACTTATACATTTGACAAGTTGGCCTTGAGGGGAGTCCTAGGAGGTTGTTCTTATGTCCTTATGATATGAACGAAATGCTTATGTTGACTTTCCATTTTGATGATCATATATGATGTTAGTTTCATTGATGAATATGAGATTGGCCTAAGCTTCTATACATGATGGTGACTACACATGTTGCTATGTTATATAATGTAAGGCATTTCTTATGATCTCTTTCCTTGTTTACTTGATCATGTGGGGTTATGGGGCTTCACATGAGCATTGCACTTGTAGGCCTGGGATGAGATTGTGAATAAGAGTCCTATATGCTTTGATGTTATGAACTCTTATACATGAATTGTTGTTATGAGATTACCTTAGAGTTATTCATGTTGATATAACCTTAATATTATGCTATAAATATTGGTATGGTCTTATTGATGATATGGGTCTTGTATTGGATATGAACTTGTCTTGATGATGTTGTGTATATTGACTTGTATATTCTCTTTTATGTGCATAAAAGGCTTTTAAAGTGCCTAAGCATGGTTTTGAAATAAATGTCCTTTTAAGCATGATTTCAAAGTCTTTAAGTGCATATGTTCCATTCTTAGTACAAGTGGATGTATTAACCTATATTCTTTCCCTTTTCCCAAACAATGTAGGTTCATTCCATTGAAGTGTAGGAGGCCATTTTTCAAGAAAAGTTGGAACCATTTCTTAAGTTATTGGTAGGCCATCATGTTAGGGGATATTACCATTTCTCTATTCTAGCTATGATCTTGTTATGTCTAAAGACACTTGTTGATTCCTTTCCATTGAGACTATTGATGTAAGCCTATAATGGAATGTTGTACTTGTGTATGCGATTATGCCTAACTTTGTAATACTCGTCAGATGGTTTAATGTGAGATAATCTTGTTAGAATATACTTATGTATTGGTTATGTTTTCTAAACAAGAATCCAATGTTAGCTTCAATAAATGGAGTCTATGTAAACTCCATATATTATGTAAGAGGTCTATCGATACCTCAATATATAAGCTTTTTTAATTTTATGCATCTTTGACCTATGATATGTTATGATGAATGCAAAAGTTCTTGTCTAAATCCTTTTCGAGGAAGAGAATGCCGGTTCAATCAAAAGGATGGTTTGAAAAGGTACATAGAAGAGTTTTTCTCATAAAATGAATGTTCCTACTTGGAAGTGGAGAGAAATTAATATGGACTTTTTTGTTTGGTTGCCTCGAACCCGAAGGCAAAATGACTCTATATGGGTTATTGTGGATATATTGAAAAAATTCACTCACTTTATCCACGTCAATTCTACTTATTTAAAGGAATATTATGCTATAATATAGATTAATGAGATTGTGATCATACATGGTATCCCTCTTTCTATCATATCGAATAGAGGTGCTCAATTCACTTCTCATTTTTGGAGGTCTTTTCAAAAAGGGTTGGGTAGTTAAGTGAAGCTTAGCAGCGCTTTTCAATCTCAAATAGATGGTCAAGCAGAGCATACTATTCAAACACTAGAATATATGTAAATAGCTTGATAGATTTCAAAGGAAATTGAGACAATCACCTATAGTTAATTGAGTTATGCATAATAATAGCTACTATTCGAGTATTTCTACGATGCCGTTGAATCACTCTATGGTAGAAGATGTAGGTCTATGGTTGGGTGGTTTTAGGTTTGTGGTTCTTCACTCCTTGGTCACGAAATAATCTATTAAGCATTAGGAACATTTCGGATAATAAGAGATATGTTGAAAACAACTTGAAGTTGGCAAAAGTCCTACAGCCGACAATAGAAGAAGAGACCTTGAATTTGAAGTGGGTGATATGGTCTACTTGAAAATTTTACCCATGAAAAGGGTGATGACATTTGGTAAGAAGGGGAAGCTAAGTCCCCGATATGGGGGCCCTATAAGATATTGCATCGGGTCATCAAAGTTTCCCATGTGTTTCAACTACCTAGTTAAATAACTTTGGTTCATCCTATATTTTATGTCTCCATGATTAAGAAGTGTATTTGCCACCTCGTATCTGTTCACCCTATTGAAGGGTCAGGTGTGAGTGAGAACCTTGCCTATGAAGTTGTTCCCATTTAAATCCTTGATCGACAAAAGAAGGAGTTGAGGAACAAGGAGGTGGTCTCCTAAAAGTTGTATGGAGAAATCACCTAGTTGAGGGAACAACATCGGAGGCTGAGGCGGACATGAAGTCCGATTATACTCATCTTTTACTCAAAGTTCTAGCAAAAGGTGAGGTTACTAATCCTATTGAAATGAACTAATTAATAATGTTTTATTCGACTGGATTTTCTAAAATGAGCATATTTATGATAATGATTCTTGCTAAAATAAGTTTTGATGGAAAAATGCTCTTCTGCTTAACTTTCATGTATTTGTGATTATTTGTCTAGTTGCCTTTATGAAATGATAGTGAGCTTGTTAATGTGTTTCAAAATAAGGTTGGCATAAGTGACTCTTGATGTTATGTTTAGATCATGTTGATATTGAGAATGTAGTTCCTTATGTTGTGATGTTGAGCTCTTACATGTGGTAAAGTATTATTTGAGTTTCTATTTGTAAATTCCATGTTTCTGTGTTGAATGGAGTTGTGAATTACTCATATGATATGTTACTCATGACGATTATATGTTGTTGGTTGGGCTGCTAGTGTTGAGTCTCCTAATTCCACTACAAAAATAATTTAGTGTCATTCGGGGACGAATGTTCCTAAGGGGGAGGGGGTATAATGTAACACTCCTAAAGTGCATGACTTCGTCGAGATCCTAAAATGATGAACTAAGAATTAAACCACTGTTTATAAGCGTAAAATAATGTGTTGGAACTAAGGGGGAAGTGTTAGAATCAAAACTTTACGAAACAACCATGTTGTCCGGAGAATTGTGAAACATGTGCTAGTGTGCCTTGGTATGTTTTATGGGGTTTTAAGAATCGGAATTTAGTGAAATTTAGCTTAAACTTGTAAAATAAATAGAAAAAGTGTTTTTAGGATCGAAAAGCTCGAGTACAACTCCCCACAGACAACCCTAAGAGGACCTTTCCATCTTACCTAAAACTGTCAAAATTTGCAGTGGCAGTCCACGAACCAATCGACTAGAGACCGATGGGTCAAAGGCCCTTCAATTGTGGTAGTTGTTTAGGTCTTATCCACATTTCAAAATGGTTCCCAAAGCCCAGTCTATTTCCCAAATGACGCCCATGCAGGACGGGCCGTCAATAGGACTTCAGGGCGTAAGTCGGGGTCTCTTGGTTAAGGGTCGAGTTTCACTTTTAAGTTTTAGTTAAGTTATATTAATTAGTTATTTGTTTAATTAATTAGGATAGGTTTAAGGGGTCGTTAATTAAGTTAGTTGGGGGACTATATAATGAATAAACCTCATTATACTAACCTAACACCCCATAGTTCCCAAACCTAATTCTTTCCAACTTCTCTATACTTTCTCTCTGTATTCAAAGACCCAATTAAATAACAAGCTTTAAGGTTCACTAGGCCTTCTAGACTTCATATTTTCTTAATCAAACTCTATGGAATCCTGAGGTATAGAAGCTATTCACTCTTTGGATCTCTTTCCCCAAAAGACTCTTCAAAATTAGATTCTAATAAAGTTTAAAAGTTTACTTTTATTCCAATTTCTTAATTTATATTTTAAATTTATTTGATGTTGGTTTCATTTGGTTATTATTGATAGATTATGTTTGAAAATTTGTTAATTGTTGTAGTTATTAGTCTTTGACTTAGTTCTATGGATGAATTCATCATTGAACGTGTTTCCTCTAACCCTAGGTTATGAATTGGGGTTGATTTTATTAGTGATGATACAATTGAATTAATTTTAATCATATGATGTTATTAAGTAAATTGATGGATGAATATTATTTTATTGATGGTAATATCTTGAATAAGTTATTGAATGCTTTTTTGTAAGACTTTATGGTCCAGAGTTCCTTACTTAAATGATGATGGTTTATACTTGATTATGGTGTGCAATTGAAGTACTATATTTGTTTAGATTAAGAATATGGTGATATGATTATTATGACGAAATGCCATGAAGATACAAAGTTTAATGTGAATCACTTGTGTGTCTTAGGGTGTTTTATCGAGCTTTATGTGTTCGTTTTGTGTGAAATTAATGTGAGAGGTCCTAAACTTGTATACAAACATTTTCATGTTGGAAACGTCTCATAAAAATTCCCCAAGGACCAACCAAGGGTCCTAGAGGAAGGACCCATTTGTATGGTCAAAACTGCCTAAGGCAGTCCCACCTACGGAGGCAATAGATGCCTAGTATTATGGTCGACGCCCAATACGTGGAGGGTGTCGATGGGTACTGAAGTATGGAACTTGGAGTTAAAAATTCCAGTCTCGTATCCAAACCACGTACCAGCAGGACGGTGTGTTTGTTGGGCTACGCCCCTTCGATGGGCAAGCGTAAGTGAGTCTACAATTTCGTCTACTTTACTGTAAAGTGAAGAGGTGAATTGGCAAATTCACTCCACATCCAAATAAATGTTTGGGAGGTTTCATAAAGTTATTCTAGGTATTTTAAGTAGGTTTATAAGTTTTAAATACCTACATGAATTCATTATTCAAAATCGAAACCCAAATTCTCTATTAAGCTCTCTAGAACTCCATTGAAGTCAAAACTCTATATGGAGCTTGGATTGAAGATTGTTTGGTGATTAATCATAAATTCTTAATCAAATTTATGGTCTATCATCAATTTATGTATGGTTATTCATCCTTGAAACTCTTTTCTTCAAGGAGCCAAACTTCAAAGTCATTTCCAAAGTCTTTCAAAGATGAACTCGTCCAATTTTTATATCTATTCATGGGTTCTTGCACAAAACGTTTTGAATCATTATATATTGATTAAATTGATTCTAATTTTATGAATTTAGCCTAATTAACCTATGAACCTATTCCAATTCTTGAGCCCAAGTTTTTGACTATTTTGTGGTGACTTGATGATTTCATAATGCTATTGAATTCTTATGTGGTTTTATTAAGGCTATTGAATTATGCCCGAATCATGTTAAAATTGTTAGTATGCTTCCCTTTATTCATAAATCAATGTTCTATGATCTTTTATTCATTTTCTATTGTCACTATTGAATAGAATTGGTAATCATGGCTATGGGTAAGGGTATTTGGGTATTGTGTTGGATGATTTACATATTCTAGAAAAAATTGCTCTAATACGTCATCAAATATTGAGAAAAATTCATCTATGTCAACTATAAAAAGTTTGTTTAATTTATGTCATTTCTTTTAAACAAATTTCTTTTAAACAAAACACTCAATCATGTCATTATTAGTTAACTAAAATAACATAGATTAGTGAAACTCCTAATTGGTAACATAGAAGGGGTCTTTTCTCAAATTTGGATCGAATATTTGATTCTTTGTCTTTTTATAATTTATTAAATAGAGGGTAATTTATATTGAGTGAAATATATTAATGGCCACAACGAACATCTTTTTTTTTTTGTGTTCTAACAAAACAAATTTGGGCAACATCCACCGAAGTGGGTAGCCTTAACCGGATGTGTTTGATAATTGGAAAAGCCCGAAGGTTGTTCCCATTCGTTTCGAGGGAGATGCCAACCCTCTCACCTTTCTACGAATATCTTTTGTTACACACAAAGAACCATTTTAATAAAGTAAATGCATCAAAGACCAACATTAAACGTTACCCATAAATTAAAGACCATTTGGATCATTTACTTATTTCCTCCGTGTGTCATATTTTTTACATTTTTAGATTTAAATATACGTGTGTGAGTGTGTATATCTATATATATACACACACACACACATATATGTGTGTGTGTATGTATATATATATATATATATATATATATATATATATTATATATACTAGTTTTTTTGTAACATATTACAACTAGAATGAACTAGATTAGAACTTAAAATATGAAAATACTTGTTTTTGGAAAGAATAAGAAAATCTGGAAATATTAAGTGATTTTTTTTTGACAACTTCAAACAACTATAGCTCCTAGATTAATATGAGTTAGGTGTTATTCCATATATCTTTGAAAATCTTTTAGAATAATCTTTCCAACACCGTTGAGTTTGCGCGATTCCGAGTTTAGATGACTGAGTTATGCCTTTCGGAAGTTCGGTTATTGGATTCAGAAAAGCCCAATCTGGATTTTGAGAAGGGAAAAGTTGTATTTTCTTCACCTCGTTAAAAAAAATTAGCTTTTCCGCATTAATTTGCGTAAAACCAGACCTTTGTTTAGTTTAGGAAAAGAGAATTCACATTAGGACTTGGAAAAGAGAAAAAATAAGAGAAAAGACGAGAGAAATCAAGAATCGCCAAGAACTCTGAAGGTTTGCTTATGGAATTCATCATGGGTGATCCCTAAAAAGGTATGTGAGATAACATAGTGTTGTTTAGTCCAACCACACGCCAATCTTTTTTTGAATTCAGCAAACATGAGATGATTGAATGTTATGAAAATTAATTCTTAAAGAACATTGTTGAAAATTCATTGAGTTCTATGGTTGTGATGTTGAAGTTTCTTTATGCTTTGATTCATATTTCTGTGTGCAATTTCAATTTGAATCTAGTGTATAATTATATTACTAATGATACTAAGTGTTTGGGGAAAGACCATTGATGTTTAGAAGGTTTACATATGAAAAACGAAGGAGAAAAGTCAAGAACACCTTGGTAAGGGGTTGGGGCATCACGACTCTCAAAGCCCCAAAGACCAATATCTGTCCTAAGTCCTTGTGGCGCCGCTCTTAACAGAGCGCCCCACACAACTCTATGTAATTTGAGGGTTGGAGTCCCAAGTCTCTCAGAGCGCCAGGGATGCCAATTATCCCTATTCTTTCCCACTGTTTTGTACTACTTCAGAAGTGAAGTACCTATGTTTCTTAGTTTATCCCAAAAATCTAAGGTACATTTAAACATCATGAAATCACATATAAACATGAGATCATGAACCATTAATCCATAATACAATTAAAGGAGACTTTAAATAAAACTGAAAGATGTTAAGAGTCATATCTGCAAGTTACGAAGAAAGTCAAATCAAAGTTGTTAAATAATTTCACGAGTCTTTTGCAATGTTTAATTTGTTATTAAGACTTAAGATTTGAGTTCAATAGTTAAAGAGTAAAGTTGAATTCATTCTTCAAAGAAGTATATGGGTACTATGTATTCCCAAAGAGGTTTAAAATAAATGTTTTCACATTTAAACAAGAAAGAAAACTGAGATTTCCAAAGAGCCTTCGGGCTAGTTCTAAGAAAAGAGTTATAGCTATCTAAAGTGAAGAAAGCAACGGAATCTAAGATTTCAAAGATAGCCTTTGAGCTATGTTTTGAGCTTTAATCTCAAATCATAGAAGAAGTATATTTGAATTATATAAAAGTTAGTTCTTTTAGGAGTATTATAGAACACCAAATGAAGGACGAGCATAAGTTCAAATAAATCACATCTCCATAAAACCACTTAGTCACCATATGTAATAAAGGGTCATACTTTTTGTATGAACCCTTTACAAAATACACTAGTGGATCCATTAGGCAAGTTGGTGTCTTATACGTTTGGCTGGATAAAGGATGTGCTGGCATCATGAGGTAGGATGATGTATCATCACAATAGCTCTTATGTGATGGTTGTTGGTTAGAGAAACATCTACAGAAGTTATTGTAGTTTGTAGAGATAGTTTATCTATATATTTTACATACATCTAAGAGATAATTGTATGTTTGTATACATACATAGTTTACAACATGATTTAAACAGGATTTTTTATATTACACTTGCTTTAAATTGCTTTATATTTAAATAAGTCCACTATGTTGAGTTGAGTTGAGCCGTGTAAGTTCTTCTTATTTCCCTATCAAGTATATATTTGTTAGCATTTGAAATTTCATACTCTTACATTCAATGTAATGATGCTACTTATCCTGCATCGAATCATGAAGCTAATGGAGGTTAGGAGAATCGGCATCCAGTGCACCATTGATCTAGTTGAGCACTCCAGAGTCAATGCTGAGCATCCTTGCATTCCGGAGGACTCCTTTACATGCTTTCTAGTTTACTTGATATTGTGGAGTTTGTCCCACCATCCATAATAATTTTAGAGTATTCATAGATAGACAATTAGATGTTAGTCCTTCCAGTCTTTAAGTATTATTCCGTATTGTTAAGTCTCGGTTTGATAGTATTGGCAAAATTAAAATGTATCTGTTTAATAAACATTCTCAATATTTACTTTTTCTTTCGTTCAGTGAAGTTTATGACTATTATCTTCCAGTGAGTTAAGTAAGTTAGGCCATGGGTCCGCTCGAGGCCAGCAGTAGTCATCTAGTGACGGCCATGGCTAGGGTGTAGGCTCGGGGCATGACATTTTCGACACGAGTGATGCACGTGATTACTAATAAAAAAAATGTTATAGTAAATAGTATTGCTTATTTAAGACAAGATGTGAACAATAATCTTTGCACAAAATTATGTTGCTAATTTTTTTGTGAAATTTAAATATGGATTGTCATATATCTTTTATTCAAGCAAACCTATGAAGATGGTGAATGACAAAATTTTATTAGTTAAGTGCAATAAAGTATATATTTATTTCATTTTCATGATGTTCAATCTTGTAATTAGTCGTATCTCACTAATATTACGTTATAAACTATATTTGTTGTGAATTTTCTTGTCATTTAACCAGACTTGCCTTGCACATGTATACCATGTTAAATTGTTTAAATGTCATATGAATATATAAAGAGAATAACTACATTTTATTTTTTTAGAACTATGTTTTGTACATTACTTTTTATTTTATGAGCTATAACATAATAAATGATGTTCTTTTTGTTGTCGCTTATATTTGGCTTCTCCATTGATTGCGTATATAAATCAAAAATAGTTATCTGTCGGTCAATAATTAACTAAGAATGGTCTCCTTTTTTTTTACCGGAAAAACTGAAATTTAAAATCAACGAATATATTCTACGTGTGAAAAGATATATATAATCACATGTTTATCTTATACCTTATAAAGATATATTTAATATACTAGTAAGCGATTTACAATTTATTTAACCAAGCCTAATTTTGTGACACAAGATACGTCCATAAAACATGTATATTGTAATACATGAGCTAAAATTTAGATGTAATTTGTTCTAGATACATTGTATCCAAGTGGATACACTTGTATCTAGTATAAATAGTCAAATCCGCTCACCTCCGCACATATCACTAGTCATTCTCTATCTCGCTACCTTATCGGTATCCCGATTAAATGTGAATCACAACAAATATATGTATCTAGTGTGATTCACATGTATTTGAGATATATAGACAAATCTCGCTCCCCTCCTTCTTTTCCTTCGTTGTCTCTCTCCCTATTTTAGTATATCTGGTATCAAAAGTATGTGTCTAGGTGTATCTACTAATTATCTGATATCAAATTATTACTTAGTGAGACAAAATATACTAATTTCCAAGTATAGAGAAAATTCATAAATATGGTACGAATGTTGTATAATTAGATAGTTTCTCACTTTTTATTTTATAAATATTTTAGATTTAGGGCCAACAAATGAATTGGACATCTTTTATCATTTAGGACCATTTAAATCAAGTAAAATATAGAAAAAAATGATAAGAAATAACAATTTTCCTATTTCCGTTACAAAAATTTTATGTGAAATTTGGGAAAGGGCACAAGTACCTCCTACACAATTGTAACAACTATTTGAACATTTTGATCACTAGAGCTTTACATTCATAAAATAGTTCCGATATATTCTAGATGTATATTTTGAACTATTCGTAACTACATTATAAAATTAGTGGGATAGTTTTAATTGTTAAATTAGTTCGTGGTTAAGGAAGTTAACATTAAAATTGGTAATATTTAATATTTATTGTTTCATAATTAGTTACCCTAGATAATTGAAAAGACTAAGCGACAAAAACACTATCTGCGACGTCAACTAGGAGTGACTGCCATCCATGTAATAATTCAAATTCTTTGAATTCTTCCAGTAATATCTATTATGTCGTATTGTTATTAATTGGGAACGAGAAATCAAATTGAGAATAGGTTGGAATTGGAAATTCCTCATATACATTGTAGTGGGTTTCATTATTAAGTTTAACTTATATCAAAAGTTAAATGATGAAATGTTGGTCATTCATATTACTAAATGATGTGTTGGGAAAAAAAGTTGAAAATTCAATTTTACACAAAGGTTTTGTAATTTGATAAAGAAAATGGGGCTTCAACACTTAGTAGTGCAATTGAATTATAGTTTTGCAATTGTTTTCTTGAATGAGTAATTGGTTTCACATAATAGTGAGTTTGAATTTATACATTAACTTAAATATCATATTAAAAAAATATTTTGGTATATAGAGATGCATAATTAAATATTATGTTTATCAAATTATTTAAATTCCATTATTGTTAGGATAATTTGAGAAATTAAGACTTATCTTTAGGTTTTAACTTTTGGAAATTGATTAAACGAATTAGGCAAGTTTTTGTCAAATGCAACCCAATAAAAGGTCATTTATTTAATAAAATAAAAATTTAAAGAACAGACTAAAAGTGGTCATTCAAGAAGAAAAATTCA